CAAAACTGTTTAAGTTTAAGACCAAATATGCAAATAAATATCACCAATTACAGCTTAAAACCAAAGACAATTAAATAGATCCACATAAATTACCTCCAACAGAGACGTTACAAAAAGCTTATTAGAAAGTCTATTTAAATGAAGCTTATTGGACAGAAATGATGATTAGTTGATATATTTCATCAGCGATGACTGCCAACCTTCACCCGATTAAACTAAAAGGGGGTTAAGTACAATTTTTCAGGATTATATGAGGTCTGCGATGCACCAGAGACCAATGTACGAATAGAATTATGCTGCGGACCGAGATTTAAAGAGGCTGAGGCAGAGTGAGACATTTCAAGTGAGGAGAAAGAGAATAGATGACAAATGTCATCGGGTGAAAGATGCCAAGTCTGATTGTTAGAGCTTGAAATGGATGAGAGACAGCAGGGGGCAAGAGGACAAAAGAGTACAGATGACGAGTCAAAGGAAAAGAAAGTGACACCGAGGCTGAGGTAAGGATGAGGAGTGAATCGAGTATGTGATGTACTTGCAAGCTCATTAAACAACGGCGTAATTGATGAGTGAAAAGGGGTGGGCAATGGAGAGATGAGGGAAAAAGAGAAATTGTCGTCAAGGACTTACACAACTTGATGAAAGAGTCCTAATCATTGGTTTCCAGACAGAGAGAGATCACTCAGCGATGACGGCAAAGACAGATGTACAGAAAATCGTTTTTTTACGTTAGCTCTTTACTGCATGATTCTCTCAATTACCTATATGCAGTCCGCTAAAGGGACACTTTAGGTTTATGATAACCTTCACACGTCGGCACAGGAGCTTTGGAAAAAAAACCTTGACTTGGCTAACTGCATTCATGACTGGGGATTTGGACCTTAAACAAGTTCAGTGAGAATATCTGTTTCTTGGATATTTGTGAACAAAAGTCCAGAAAGTTTCCTATATTTTCAGGAGGGTCTGTAGCTGACAACAAAAATGTCGAAGTAAGTTGCTCCAAACATTTTACCAAACCTCCAAAACTCCTGCCAGCCCCAGGAAAATGTCCACAAAATCCATAGCGATGACAAAGTTTCAAACCCACAAGAATTAAAACAGCATTTTCTATCGACATGCTACATCATAGCATCAGCTTCTGAATAATCTGAACATTTTCAGATCCTGACAAGCTCCTACTTCCTTTTTCAAATGTAAAAGTCCAAACTAAGGAAAGTGTCATTTCCCGCAATTAATGTCATTATTGCAGCAGGAACTATATTGTCGCACTTTAAGGCCACTGTGCACTGTGACTTCTGTGTCCGTCAAAACACTACCTGTAAATGAGCGCACAGTGCATAACTTATTTTATAGGCAAAGCTAAATTTATATTCTCATTCAGTTGGTGATGGAGAGCAGTACCTCGAGGTTGTGCTGAAAGTGCTTGATCGCAAATGCAAATTTGTTTAGCATTCCTCAACAGTTGACGCAGGAATATAAATCAGGTCAAAACATACCGGCTGTGCAATGCAGGACGTTCAAATTCAGCCCCTGGAGCCACTGACCATGTAGAGATAGGATAATCTCACAGCTAATCTGCTCATGCCCTCCTCTGTAACTTGATAAGGAACAATACAATTAACTTCCAAGGCCCAATAGAGAAAGTGGCTTCTTGTACTTTTAGCTTTGAAGAATTTATATTTTTATCACACTTAATTGCTTATTTGTTGTGTGACTGATAGCGCTATGCTAATTTGGATGGGCTGTAATAGATTTATCTCGTCCAATGCAAAAGCATAATGTGTCTGATAACACACCCAGCCAATGACACTATTTATAAACGTACAGCATCTATCCTTACTCACTGCACTTCTGCAAATTAACTTGATAAAACATTCTGCAAGGGCTTTTTTCCTTGCAATCCACAATGCAGGTAATGAATTTGTGCATGTGAGTCTGCCCCCTGGTGTGGTTTGATTAGTTGTGTATTGCGTTTGCAACAGAGTACAGCAACAATCTACAGGATTTCATGGTTGTGTTTGTAAAGAGGCATATCTAGGGAGAAACTGAACAAAGACCATTAAAGACAATCAACTCCACTCTGCCGTGTTCTTACGTTTATGTTCATTATAATCAGGACAACAAACTACACGATGAATAGCTTAACAAAACGCTAAAACAAACCTATAATTATACATTAAATCAGTGTGACAGGAGTTTAAAGGGTTTTAAAAAAAAAAAAAAAGAAAGAAAGAAATCCTCTGCCTTTCCCTGTCACATCCCCGGCTAACAGGGGAACAGAGTCGTTTCTGGGAGCAGTTTTCTGGATGTGGCAGAGCAGTAGAGCTAATTTATGGGTCAATATAAACTTCCATCACCACAGACTGAAGCTGAAAGCTGTGCTGGCATGCGGCAGAAATGAGGAAAAGAGCAGAACCTCTAAATCGTAGACACAGAACATATTGAGCAGGGAGGAAAAGGATTAACTCATGTAAGATAAAGGCACATGTACAGAAACGCACACGTGTAATTACATCTGGAGGGGTTTATCCTGCAATGAAAATCGCTCAAATTCTGTTACTGCTATACAAAAGCCTCATATACGCAGTAATAAAAGTGATCACTGCATGAACTGCATCACCTGCAACTGTCTTTACACCAGTATAATCACTCCAGAGAGGCACTGGGTGAGTGACAATGTGACAGGATGATAGTTTAGGTAATTAGTGCTGGCAGTTAAAGGCATAATTCATGTGTCTAGCTAGATGAATTTCTCAACCAAAGAGCGCCGAACGACCACTGCAGGAGAAAGAGACCAGCGATGGAGGGGGAGTCAGGGAGTCGGTGTTATGGTAGAACTAGTTTCCCCGATAACCGCTGATTTTCACCTGGATGCATCAGTGGGTGCATGTGTGAAAGAGCTGATGCTGAAAACAGGGAGAGAACATTTAGCTGGAAATTAATCAGTGTTGTCCTTTTCATTAAAATGTTAAAACATACTCATCTGCTCCCACTGGAACCAAGTGTTGCCTCACATGCACACTTTGTATTTTTCTTTTTTCTTTTAACCTTCTAATGGGCTTTTTGTACATTTCATTTAGGTGTCCTGGTACTGATATGATTTAATGAGTCATCTCATCAGTTAAACTATTAGCCGCACTGAGTCATTACATACTATACACACACGTTTGATTAAGTGTGCCGTGTTTGATTTTCTACCACATATAAACCGAGGGCAATTAAAGTGCTCCTCTACTAAATCTTTTAGTTTTTACTGCTCGTAAGCCGCACTACCATGACAACTACACTGTAAAACATGCGACGTGTCTGATACAGGGACGGAGGTGAAGGGGCTAACTGCAACACATGCGGCAGTGTTCCATAATCCTGGCCCCGAACAGCCCTCATTTCAATTCCTGCTGCCGATGACAATCATTTTTCATGGGGCGGCTGCAATAAAATTCCCCCCTGGTGTTTTGACACAGCTCCTCGCTGTGGTATCTCGAGGTTCATCTCGTTCACTACGGAGGCCAAACAAAAAGAAGTGATGATGTAATGCAGTGTAAACACAGAAGTGGTGCTGGCAAATCTGATTTAGAGCCAACATCGATACTGAGGGAGAGAGACAGTGAGAGACGTTTATCAATGGTGTGAAGTTTACAAGAGTGCTGACATATGTACAACATATATCACAATCACACCGAAAAAAAGGTTTTCTAAGTAAAAAAAAAGAATGTTAAAGGAAATCCTTTTAATTAGCTCCTCATTTAAAGGCAAACACAAGCAGACCAAATTGTTCCTCTGCCAACGAGCAGGTGTAATGAATCCATGCTGCCTGTAACAGCCTGTAACATTAAAAGAATCAGTAAATTAATGAAAGTTTGACTACACACTTTGAGCATCCGATATTGACCACTAGAGCTCTGACACAGCTTGTGTCCTTCTGTTTGTTAGAGAGGAAACTCTTGAAAATGGAAGCCGAGTATTTCAGTGAAAATACTGAGAAATAAATTGATTGAAGCTTCTAATGAATTTAGAGTTCAGTGACTAAAGTCAACAAGGACACGTTCTGGCCTTTAAAATCCTACATCCGATAACCCAAGAGGGACGACGTCGACAATGATAGATGAGGCCACAGTCTTACTCTAAACCTGCCTGTTTGAAAAGGTTTGCTTGTCCTGTGGTAATGCTGGGTGCAGCTTTAAGCTCGATGAAGCTCTACCCCAACGGGAGAAGCAGTTGTCGTGAACACGATGTTGTCCTGATTGACAACGTCACTTACGCTGAGGATCCCAGCTGCTACTGAGCGCTGGTCGCCTGTTTATTCAAATATTATTAATATTGCACCACATTCAATACTGCATTTCTTTGAGCCTTAAAACAATACACGGTTCTGGAGGTATGCAAGCCACAGACAAGCAGACTTCTGGAATTATTAGATTGTGCTGAAGTACAATAAACACTGCTCAGCAAATGTCTTATGTTTCATTGTTTAGGGTTATTACTTGAGTGAAGGAAGGAGGTAAAAAGGGAAGGAAGGAAGGAAGGAAGGAAGGAAGGAAGGAAAAATCCAACAGAGGGAGGTTGTTTATTGAGTAGCTGATCAATGAGTTCAGCCTCAGCCAGAAAAGGAGGCAACGGGAAAAAGCAGAAAAGAAATCAGAACAAAGAAAATGTGATGTAGTGACCAGAGTGTGTTCAGGACAGGAGGAGAATAACGAGCGTGGTGAGCAGCGCTGCCCTGCAACATAACAGGGTGATAGACAGACAGCAACAAGGTGATAGCGCCTGCAGCCTTTCACACAGTGAAGGAACCAATGGGGGCTTGAGAGTTGTGGACGAAATGTGAGCATTTCAGACAGAAGTGTAAAAAGAAGAAGGAGAGAGGAGCAAACTATAAACTGAGAACAGAGACGTAAACAAACACAAGCATTCAGTCCACAGATAGTAAAACACAAAGACACACTGACATGTGAAGCGTGCGTGCAGCCTGAGACGGACAGATACGGAGGCAGGAAACTGACCTGTGAGCACGGCCTTGGCAGAAGGTTCAGACAGGTCCAGGGCGGACTTGCCATCGGTGTTGCGGATGTTGGGATCAGCTCCGTGCTGCAGTAACACTGTACAACAACAGGGCAGACACAGACAGTAGCTGAGCTCCTGAACTGACATACAAACTCCCCGACACACACCTCCTCCCAGTCCTCCTCCACCTCCAGCACCTCCTCCTCCTCCTGCTGCTGCTCCTGCTGCTCCTGCTGCTGCCGCCACTGAACCACATCCTGCTCCATAAACTGCTCTTCCTGGAACCTTTTGTCCCCCTCGCTCGTCTCCTGCTATCCCCCCTGTTCCTCCTCCTCTTGTTCTATCCCCTGGCTCTCCTGGCTGCCCCTCTGCAAGTCCTGCTTCACATTTCTCTCCTCCTCCAGCTGCTCCTCCTCTGTTGCTAGCGCTGCTCCCTTGGCTGCCCCTGGCTGCCCCTGCCCTGCGAGCCATGCTGCTGATGTAAACAGACATGTCACAACAAGAGAAGCAAAAACGCTACGCCAAACCACAGCGCCAGAGAAACAAGAGGACCTAACAAAAGGGCTACGCGACAGGCTAAAAAACACAACCCACTTCCATGGATGATGGAAGGACGGCTGTGGTTAAGTCGAGGAAATAAATAAAAGGGAGTGAGGAAAGGAGAGACGAGGGGCTACAGCTAATCCAGGGAGCAGCGGAAACAGCTGTGGTGGTAGCGGCAACGAGACGGGTAGGCAGTGCGAGCGGAGAGACTCTCGCCTCTCCGACTGACTGAGCGATGCAGCGGAGAGCAAGATGAGTGAGGAGAGGAGAGGAGAAGGTTGGGAAGGGGTGGGTGAGAGTCAAAGAGGATGGGAGAGGGTTGGGATTGGGTGAGTGAGAGTCAGAGAGGATGGGAGAAGCGGAGGGCTAAAAGAGGGGAGGGAGAGCAAAACAAGAGAGAGGCAGAGAGAGAGCCGGGAGGAGAGGAGAGGAAAGGAGCCTCATGTGACTACCAAACAGGTATGAGCTGAATTACAAACTCTGCCTGTGCTCAGTTTTTTCTGTAAATTAGCTCTTTCCAGGGCACTAATGTCACTGCTCCGCCTGCCTTCCTCTCTGCCTCACTTCACGCTATAGTGACAGCCGAGCCGGTCCCGGTGCGCATGCCCTTTGACTCCTGTCTGCTTCAAACCCACCCTGCTGAGACACAGCAGGGGCGATAACCAGGCGTGCATGTGCATACAAGCACGTGTGAGCACCTGTGCCAACACTGACGCACACGTTCATCACCCACTCAACAAAAATATGATTGAGCGCTGCACCAATCCCTTACACATAAATCGAGCAACACACATCTACGTGTTATGATACCCAGAGAGAATATGAGATAAGCCTACAGAGAGAAAATCTGCAGCAAACTCAAAAAAGTTCACATATCTTTCAGCCCAGTCTGAGCTGTTTCTGATTAATTTGCCATAATAACTTATAATTTTGTGATTTCAGTAAAAGGCTTGTCCATATTGTTTTGTTGATACGACAGTAACAATTCCAATAATCCATTTATTTGTTTGTTTGTTTTTTCAGCAGGATTATGCAAAAACTATTCTACACATTTTCATGAAACCTGATAGAAGGATGGGAAATGGACCAAGAAAGGAACCATTACGTTTTGGCCCTGTTCTGGCCGAGGTTTTTTTTTCCACTTTCTTTAACTTTGCAAGATAATTCATGGATCTTGATAATAAACATCAGACTTGTTTTGGGAACTCATATCTATGTCTGCAATTTAGTGCAGCCATTGTAGTTGTAATTTTCAGCAAAATCCATTTAACAAAAGCTCACTAAAAAGCAATAATGGCACTAGAGCTCATTACAGCACAGCAGTCCCCTTAATAATAATTTCATCAAGATCCATTAATTATTTGCTGGGACATCTGTGAATAAGTCTAAAAAACATCCTTCCTGCAACATTAAAGAAATATGATGAGAAGAAATCCTAGATCAGCACCAAAACGGGTTCTTCTCTGAATTATTATTTAACTTTCTGGTTTCTTAACCTTTAAAGTGGGAGGAAATAATAATTTGACATTTATCGTAATAATCATTGATATAGACTGATGTAAAAACCATCCCTTTTTTGGCCACATCGTCCCGCCTTATACCCGTCTCATCTGATTAAACTAAATCCCCTTTTTGAGAGGATTAGTTTCCAGGACAATGTCAGATTTGCAACAGTTATATTTTAAACTATCTTCATTGTCCATGACATCACAGTAAATGACCAGGTTTATTTCAGCCGTCTCATCTGTGTGTGTTCGAGCTAAATAGGGGAAAACCTGTTTGCATGAAACACCCACAACTAACAATGTAAAGCAGGTTTTTATATTCTCTACGGTGCTCAAACTATAATTTATTCATGACCGGTGCTAACATAAAAAAGCCATTTCCTGCAGGACAGATCCTGCTTTCTGCTTCTCAACACAAGAAGCTAGGAAACATGGTAGAAATCTTTGATTCCGATTCTTCCTGACATTTCATAGAACAGATCCATCTATTCATTAGCTATATTGGTTATCCGTTGAGGGTCATAGAGCAGTTGACTAATGAACAAAACCTGGCTCCTCCTAATCAATGGTTCCGATGTCTGTGACTAAAAAATGTCTGAAAAGTGTCAAGTCTTAGTGGGTTGTTGTCTTAATGATGACCAGCAAAATTAAACTGGGGAGAACTGAGGACACAGTTAAAATGTCAAACTCAGGGCCGATAGAAATGGCTGCCACAAGATTTCCATGATCTTCTTTTCCCAACTTTGTTGATTAGTTTTTCTTTGGACCTTGAGCTTGGAGAGATGCAGGTCAAGTAATTTTCACTCAAGAGCGTCCATCACACTGAGCTGCAGTTACAGACAAATCAGAGCTGATTTAGCCGACAAATCTCAAAACCTGGCAGGACGACAACCCCCCAAACCTCCATCCAATAAACAAGCCATTGGGGGGGTCATGTGATTTTTGTTGACACGCATTGGTTTGCTTGAGACTGCAGGAATTTAGGTCAGTTTTTCTGTTCTGGTTCATGCCAAACAAAACAAACATAGCCTGTGATTAAACGTTTAGGTTTTTATGCAATATTCATAATTTAACTTGGGTTTTTATTGAAAAGTTTTAAAGGCTCTGTTCAGAAAGAATCACAACTTTCCTCATACTGTCCATTGCTGCAGGCAGCTCCTCTTTTCAGCCTGTCTGAATCTAAAAACAAAGCCCAGTCGGTTCTGATGTGAGTCTGTTGATTGGTCAACCGCTCACAGGGTCTGTAGGAAGGGTCACCCTCCGCTCGCGCTTTACCTAGCGAGCCAGATAGTCTCTAAGTGTGCTTTATCCAATTGTTTGGTATCGTGATGTCACATGACATCTTGGCTACGTTTAGAGTTTTCTCCCTTAACCAAAGATTTTGAGCTTTTTAACTTTGCAGAACTTTTACATATAGAAAACTTACATAACACACGGAGGAAAGAGAAACTGAAAAAGCATCATAGTCTGCTTTGATGGTGTCTGAGTGATTTCACCTTAAACAAACTGTTCAGGCACTGGACTCGTCTGGCAGCTCTTTAAAAACTGGGTTTGCACAGCTGAGTACTCAAAGGAAATCATTATGTCAATTCCCTTGTTAAATCTAAATGAACTGTGCTTTTGATTCATGCAGAATTGATCAAAATAGATATTAAAAAACATGAACCCTAAACTAAGAACAGTATTTTTAAGTCATATTTCATTACGCATGCAGAACATATTGAAGCAACATAATCGTGGATCAATCCCCACAGTTTACCGTATGTTTTCAGACTTTCCCTACATCCCAAGCAGCTGCTGGTTTCAGATCATCTCAGGATACTATGAAAATTAAACTTGCACACACATAAAACTTGATAATCTGTATTATGATTCTTCAGTATTCTTATAATAATGCAGAGAATTGCAGTACCCTTATTGCTGCAGACAAAAGATAAGTGGAGAATGATAAGTGGAAATGTGTATTGCAGTTTCTCTTTGTGCCAGGGGGCAGCGAAAGAAGGGAGCAGTGAAGGTGTCAGCTTTTCAAATTATCACACAAATTGGAAATGTGACCTGAAAATATTTACCTTTTGAACCGCAAGAATAAAACGTATTTATCATCTTCATGCATCACAAAATGTTATTAAACATTATTTTTTGTGAAAGTGGAAGTGGGATGACAGCGCTCAGTCGTGCTCACTGCTCTGGACCAATCTTTCTTATCCTATGTCACCTTTTTCTGGGAGGTTCGTACGTACGGGGTTTCAAAGTCAGATTCACCAAAGCTTATCACAGCCTGATGAACGGCTCTTAAATGAACGAGTCTTACGGCTGTTGGCTTCATTACATTTGTGTGCAAGTAACATTCATGAAAATAACCTCAAAAAAGAGGTGCTTCATGAAAACATGATCAAATTAGTTTAGTGTCTGTGGTGGCATGAAACAATCAAACAATATGAATGCAGCTGTGACATAAATAAGGATCATCATTTATACTGAATTCATATATATATATATTTGTATATATTGACAAATCAATCACTGCTCTCAGCTTTGACAGCAAGATAACATTTGTGCAAATTGATTATCAGAGATAAAATCACTGTTGTAACTTTCCCTCCCTCTTTGGCTGTGAGCTCTTAGAACACAGTGACACTATCATCGCAGCCTATCGTTACTATTTTTATTGTAACTCATACTGAGCAAAGCTTTTTCATTATGATCATAAAGATTACAACACTCAGACTTTCAGGTTTTCATGCTGAGGTGCATCTTGTCTACTTCAGGGATCAGTGACACTGTTTCCCCACGTTCCTCAGTTCATGTTTTTAAGATTAACTGCTGCAGCTCTTTCTGAACCGAGCCTGTGGTGTTTGTTTTACTTTTTAAATTAAAACTACGTTGGTGGCTGCTCATATATTGTGGGACAAACAAATCAATGCTCTTCTGTCCCCCGTGTGAGCCGAAGAATAAGCACTAACACAGTGATTGCAAAGTATACGTTATTTGCTGCATCATGCTTAATGGTAAATAATAGCATAGTTGGTGGTTTATTATTGTTTCTAAAATTACTTTGTGATTATACAGATCTCTGGGATGCGACTTTGGAGGAGTGGAGGGGGTAGAGGCAATTAAAACAAAGGCACAAATACAAACTCGAATTTAATATCTAAAAATTTGCCAGCGTATTAAAGCTGCAGAAAATAAATACATATTTAGCGATTTCAAGGAGGAACCAATAACCAATTATTGCACCAACAGGACTTCTGTTTGTGCTCTCTTCTTGATTCATTCTTACCAGGACAAAAGACTAACAAACATTTACAAACAAACCATGTGCAAGGAAAAGATATTTAAAACATACAATACACACGTTTACTTGGTCCACAATATTTGTCATGCGTGTTTTTGAATGCTTACCTATACAGACGTCTATCTTGCCTTTGATGGCGGCTTCATGTAGCGGCGTGTAGTTCCAGTTGTCTCGAGAGTTGGGATCAGCGCCCTGACACAGCAACAAGGACACCACCTGAAAAGAACAAACACAGAACAGTCACACTTACTTTTTATTCTGCACAAACTATTATTTTTATTTTCACCTGTATAGCAATTTTACTACTAAAGAAGAAAATGGGGGAAATAAATGATTAAAATAAATTCAAATTCAATTCAAAGCAGCACGACAGAGGAGCACTGAACCGATACCAAACCAAAGCGCTTGACAACATCTCACCCTAACTCATGAACAAGATTTACTCCAGGCAACAAATGATTCCTAACTTTTTAGATCTTAAGCGTTGCTTTGTCAGCAGGAACTTTCCACAGGCCGAAGCTCGAAGCCTGACTTTACCCTGCCTGCCACCCAAACAACTACTTTGAACAGTTTCAATTAGGACGCAGTGCTTTTACTCTCATCACAATGCTAATCATCCCTGTGCTCGTACAGCAGCATTAGCACAGCACTTCTGTGACGACGTTGCAAAGTGCTCTCCCACAAAGCCTCTAAAAGCCTTTAACGCAACTGAAACGGTAAACACTCAACCGATCGCTGTGGTTAATGGTCAGGAGGATGAAAAACGAAAAAAAGCTTCAGCACATCTGTCACGGATAATCCAGAACATCATCAGTAACGAGGAGATGACCAGAAAATGAATTTTCAGGTTTTGTCATTGTGATCTCTGAGGATAAATGTGCTCTTTGTTGTTTGGGGTGGGCAGAGAGTTGACACCAGCACATTTGTATGTTTACACAGGCTGTATAATATATTGCTTTCCCTCTGGCTTTGACATAATCACAACCGCACAGTGGAAAAGCTGTGGCACAATATAATCCATCCGGAAACTAATACAAATGATAGAAACAACACAAAAAAGAAAAAGTCTGCCTGAAATGTTCCCGTGTTTAGTCTCACCTCAGAGTGACCAAAGGAGCAGGCGTTGTGAAGCGGAATCAGACCGCCGTCATCCCGAGTGTGCACGTTAGCGCCTGTTTGAAGTAAGTGGTCCACCACGTCCTTCCGCCCAAAACCTGACACACAAGGAAGAGAGCAGGAGATAAAATAACATTCAAAATAAGTTTTTATTTACTGCATTGTTATGGAAAAATCTGTTCTGTTCAAGCTGCTGAGGATCGAAGCAGCTGAGACTGTTTTTCATCTTTTTGTCTTCGCTGTTGACAGAATAAAAAACAGTCTGGAAAAGATGAGGTCAACTGCTCTTTTCGTATCCATGGCTGTTTTCCGTCCTTGATTCAAATCTGCTTTGGATTTTGCATGCGGAAAAAATTAAAAGCCCTCCATTTTAATAGGTGTGCCGGCTCGTGTTACACCAAAGCCAATGTTTAAATGTGACATTTGATCCGTCACATTCACAAATACGTCTGAGTTGTTTTTTTTGCAGGCATGACTTGATACAAACTCATAATACCGACCTTTTTTGCAAAGATATCCAAGATTTCATAAATTCATTACATGTGTCTGATTTTAGACCTTGTCAGAATAAAGGTGCATTTAGAAAAGTCATTGGGCCCTATCTTATTTTGAAACGCACATCTTTCACCACGCTGCTTGCACAAGAGATAGTGAGGATGAAAACAAACTTAAACTGCCCCTGTCTGTTTCAAATGTGTTGGCATTTTAAGTTGCACAAATTTTAATCTAATTTCCAAACACAAAAGAAATGCAAATCTTCTTTCCATCACATTGTCCAGAGCACCAGTGACTCAACTTGTGTTGTGCATGTGTGTGTTCTTCAGAACTTTATTATTGAGAGGTTCCCTTAACGACAGGCAGAACAAGTTATTTTATTTGTGGCCTGCTTCACTAATGTAATGATTCAGTGTCATCCTGACAAACTCATATCATAACTAATAACACTAGTGAGTGGCTGCGGTGTTTGTTAGCTTCTTTCTGTTCACTCATGCCCCTGAACGCATCACCCAGCTGCAAATTGACATTTTATTTATTTGAAAGTTTGATTTTTTTGTGTGTGTCATCATTACCTGCTGCGAAATGCAGAGGAGTGGATTTCCGTCCCGCCATGTCTTTAGCGTTCACATTCAACACATCCACGAGCTTCTTCACCCGGGAGACATCCCCGTTCCGACAGGCTTCAAACAGCTCCCTGAAGGCACCGTTAGCCCCACCACTACCGCTGCTACCGCTGCTGCTGCCCGGGTTACCGCTGCCCGACTCGGGCGTAGAGCCCGGGCTGCTCCCGCTACCCTCGGTGGAGGTCGGGGAGCTAGCGCTGCTGCTGCTGCTGCCGCTGGCGGAGCTGCTGCTGGCGGCGAGGGCCAGAGATGGAGAGGCGCTGTTGTTGGTGGTGGTGGTGGTGGTGGTGGTGGGAGAGGCCGGGGCTGCCTCACCGTCAGGCGGGCTCTCCATCAAGCTGTCCCGCGGAGGAAGCGGGGCGGCATCGTCGACGAGTGCCGGCGGAGAGCCAGGTGGGGTGCCCGGGACAGAGGAGCCGCGGGGCGGGGAGGACAGCAGCGAGGTCGGCTGTTGCTGCTGCTGAGAGGAGCGACGAGGCGTCGCCATTTTCACAACACAACAGTCCCCACTAGCAACAAAACACTGGTGACAACTTCCTGTGGAGGAAACACAACTTCCGGCTTTACAGGTTCACGGTTTATCAAACTTCATCATTCAACAACTTTACTAATTAAAAACAGGATTCATGATACACTTCTATGTGCTCTTTCATTATTTATTCTAATGTATTATGTGGATGGATGATTTTGTCTGTGTAAAGTTTGTGGGGTTTTTTTTTATATGAATTTATATATTTTTCACATTTTAGGAAGATTATTTGGGATTTAGGACAAATACAAATGAGATTTTTTATTTTAGACTGTAAAACTTTTATGAAAATAGTAGGTTGTGATTCACCTTCATGAAATTTTTATATTTTTACTCATTTTTATTAATTTATTCGTCGTATATATATTTCATGTTATTTTTTAAGCACTATAATAAAATAAAAAGCTAAACAAATACTTGATAGACATAAAGAAAATGTTGTGCATTTAGGAATTCAATTGTATCTATATTTTCTTAAACCTTAGCTTTTATGTCACCTGTGGTTGAACAATACAATTAAATGTGTATAAATGTATAAGACAGAGACTGATAATAAATGATGGATCGATCAAATTAAAATCGATAATGATGTAATTGGTGAGCTGATTGGTGTCAACTGGACTGGCTTTAAACGATAGCGCCATCTTGAGGAGATTATTGGTAATGAAGAAAGTACCTAGGCCTTATTCACACTGAGCGCGAAAAGCCTGACTGTCCCTCAACTGATAAAACCAACACATATGACAAATAACATAGTTTACATTGTAAAAATATACAATAACAGGTTGTACTTTACACTATAATTGTGTTTTTGGCAAATGTAACATGACAATGGGCTTTTTCAAAGATGTTTTTATCCAACATTATAGACATACACACTATACAATAGTATAGACAATATGTGGCACCGAACTGGTATATGAGGTGATCATATTTTCAAAATAAAATACAATTCAATTATTCTTATCCACATGTTATCATATGAACACAGTGTGATGAGCCAAAAATATATTTAAAATGTATTCAATCAAATCACTGGGTAAGATTTATGAGAAAGGTGTGTTTGTGTGACTGACAGATGACTCAGTGGAGGTATGTTAGTTACCACACAGGTTTGGACTCACTTTATTGTTCCTCCTTCGCTCCACTGAAGTTGCATCCTGTTTCCTGCGTTTCCTGCCCTCAGTAGGAATCCAAGCTACAAATATCGATTCAGAAATCAAAGGGCTGTAGATTTCATCTCTACATACATGTGACAGAATTTGTCTGAGCTGCCTCTTTTTGGTGTGGGTGTGTGTGTGGGTGTGTGCGTGCGTGTTGGATGCTATTTCCTGCAGCCTTTACTCCACTTGGTGACTTTACACTTGCAACACTCACAGCCTCTGTTGCTATGCATAAGCATGTGTTTGATTACATTCCCAGTTTCTTTATAAAGGTTCAATTTCATACTTTGCTGATCACATGCTGCACAGAATCTATTCTCATACACTGGTTGACAATCAGAACTAAAGAACAAGTATCGCTTGAGGGATCAGTCACTGCTATCAGTGTTTTTTAAAGTGTTTCTATCCATGAACTGTAACCACAAATTACAGCACCTTGTAAACGCATTCTTCACTGAATTGTGACGCGAGCTGTCACACAAATGTCAAGAAAAATTTAGTCACGTATACATACATCAATGTTGTGATGCTCAGAAACAAAACCCAGAACAGAGATGAATAAAAATCTACTGAAACATTGTTCTTGAAAGAAGGCAGAATAAAACACATACAATATCTCAGTTGTCTCATTATATCTCATTAAGATGCATTTAAAGATAACAGACAATACCTTCTTAAGATTAGCAAGTATAGATCTTCCCAAACGGTCTGAAATAATGTAAATAACAATACATTTAAAAGCAAACACACTGTCGATTGTATCATTTTTCTATTTATTTGTTGAATATAAGTTTAAAGATGAAGAACAACTTAAAAATTGAGGAAGACTTTGGAAAACTGTTTTTTCTCAGGGTCTGGGAGGTTTTGCTTCGATTTCCAACTGGTGCTTTTAAAGTCAAAATCTCTGCTTGAAGGCCGAAGTCATTGGTCAATTGAAATCGTCATATGTCCCACAATCTACCACAGTGACAACATATTCATTCAAGGATTTGAGACACTAATGTCTTTCATTTAACCCTTAAATGCATCCAGATGATCATACAGCACTATTTAAAACAAAGTGCATTTTTGAAACATGATTCAAAACCTTTCAGGACTGAGGCAAATAAGATTAATATGACATTTTAAAAAACAAGAATACAAAATTAATATTAATAAAGTATTAACATAAAGCTTAAAAACAATAGGACTAGTTGTGCCGTGGCTGTGACATCTGCGCCAAAATGGCAATTAAATGTAAAAATATACAATTAATATACGACCATGACCCTCTGTTGTATATACGTCTGTTTAAATCAGCCACTAGCAGATCAGCTGATCACATGTTTGGAAGTGATTTAAAAAAGACTGTGGTGTCAGGATGAATAAGCAGAGTTCTGCCTGGTCGGTTGGTCGACATGCCTCACATTCCTCTTCCAACCGCTCTTTGCGTTACAGAGTTTAAACTTGTAATTAAAACCATGTCATCACAACAAAACATTTTAAAAATGAGAAATGATTCCACGTCTTTAACTACTGAGGGCTCTGGCTATAGATGCAAGAGTCACACAACATAAATCACATAAATCATCTCATCTTTTCCCATTACAAAAAGCAGTTTGTTGTTTGTTAGTTTTTTAAATGAAGCAAATGAACACCTAGGACAGGTGTGCCTTGTTCGGTGACTCCCAACCATCAATCACAAAATGCCACGTGGTGTTAAATCAGGTAGGATGTCGTGAGGCGACGACTCGAAGCTGAGAGATGGCAAGTTTGAAAATAAAAACCTCTCTGGACTCTCATAGACTTAGAAAAGTTAACCACTTGCCCCGTGAGGTTGATGAAGACGATGGTAATGTGCAAGTCTCGATGATGTCATGAGAGTTGTTCACTTTTAGGGTTTTGAACTGAATTAAACGTGTGTGAATAGTTTATACGGGAAACAAAAACAAATAGAAACATAGCAACAGATAGATGAAACAGAGGAAGAGAACAGAGGGAGAGGAAGAGGCAGGTTGTCAATGGATTCCTGCAGAACTACATTCTTAACGAAAACAGTTCCCACACAATCACAGTTTGAAATCTCTCAGTCCGGCTTGTTCTACTAAACTAAATCCTGATTCTAACAGACGTTTTCCAAACTAACAACATATTTATCCAAGAGTTTTCCTGAGCAGAGGCACCAGTTAGAATCTGTTGAGGTTTAGATAAAGACGCATCAGTATGTGCTTCGGTCTCATTCTGGTTTTATTATGTTAATCACAAACCTGTTGTAAAAGATTAACCAACCCTCACCATCTTTGATGATACATACTGTTTTCTTAGCGAGCTATAAAACTAAACTTTCATTCACTCTCCAAGTTAATAAAAAGCTGAGAAACTGCTGTAAAATATGTATTTGGTTTATCAACTCTGCAAAAACTTTGTTTGTTTGTTTAAGTCATGGATTTGGATGAATTCATGAAGCATGTTTCAGGGACTTATGAGGGTGTGCAATTTGAGGCAGATCCAAATAAAACCCTTGATTTAATGCGGTTTCACAGGGGGAGTGTTGGGCCTTGTTGTGTCGAGTTCAGTTTAAGCGTTCGCCTGCATGCAGAAAACTTCAGTGATTTAAGTTATTCAAACGAAATCAGACTACTCACAGAACTGAAAAGTTTGTGTGAGTTACATAAATGGAAATAAATATTGAATTTGACATTTTGCAACTTGAGCAGGCTGATGATGGCCACCAGCCTTTAACTGACGGATGTTTTTCTTGTTCTTCATCACGCATAGGACATTTCCATAATAAACGTCGAGTCGAANCCCCCCCCCCCCTCTCTCTGTTCATCTTTGCACGTGAGGATGAAAAAGCTCCACAGGTGAAGCCGGAGCCCCGCCCCCCGCCAGGTTTCAGTCGGACTCGTTTATAAGAGCAGCTGTTGAAGTTGTCACAACTCCGTCACTTCTCTAAAAGTTACTACTCTCTCATTTGAATTGGGAGCAAACAACAAGAGGCAATCATGCCGAGTCGATCCGCGCAGGACTGGATCCGCTTGTCCCTGCGCACACCGGGCATCCTGATCTTCGGGATGGTCTTGGTTCCCTGCGGCTGGGTGCTGAACCTCACCGCCACCGTGGCCCCCAACTGGAGGACCCTCCACGACATCCCCAACACCCCGTCGGTCGAGTTCATCGAGCAGGGCATCTGGGACATCTGCAGGACCACCACGATCTCCCAGAGGCCGGAGTGCAACCTGCAGGACACCACGTACTTCAACAACCAGATCATCGAGGTGGCGCAGGGGCTGATGGTCGCCTCCCTGATCGTGACCCTGATCGGCCTGGCCGTGGCCATCCCGGGGGTCCGCTGCTGGAAATCCGAACCCAACTGGACGGTGGCCGGCCTGGGCGGACTGCTCTTCTTCCTCGCGGGCGTCATGACCATCATCCCCATCGCCTGGTACACCCACATCATAGACGACGTCGCCACGGTGTCCCCGGTGATCGACGTGCGCGTCGGCTACTGCATCATCCTGGGCTACATCGGCGGGATTTTCGAAGTGCTGGGGGGCTTCGTCATGTTCATCGGCATCTGTCGCTGCTGCGGCGGGAAGAACCGAGGCGAGAGGCGGGTCGAGGACGTCATGGGCCCGCAGTTCACCCAGAAGCCGCCGCCGAGACCCGTCATCGTGCCGAGCCTGAACCGGGCCAGGAGCAACGTCAGCAGCGTGCCTTACTCACAGGACGATGATGTGTCCTTCCCCCGAGCCAAGAGCCCCGCAGCCCCGTCAGCCAACAGCTCGTACAGCGGCAGACCCTACGATGCTGACTTGTGAGAACATCTGGACGCACACATCTGGACAAAAGGGGAAAATCAACTTGAAGATGGGCTCAACAAAGAGGAACGGAGAGTGCACATGATTCCAGGAAGAAGTCATGGTACTAACAAAATGACTTAACATCTATATTATTAAAAAAAGCCTATTCATGTTCAGGAGTTTGACCTTTAAGTCACCATTGTTGTGTCTGGTGTGAAACCAGATGTGAAAGGAATATTTTATCCACAGATCAAACACCTTAGATATAGTTCGAATAGATGTGAACTCACTTTTACATGAATGAAGAAGAATGAATTAAACTAGACCAGAGTATTGAAGTGTTTGAAGGCATTGAAGTGTTTGAAGGTATTATAAGAATAATGTGTTCAATCTTTAATAAGAGGTCAAGGCTACAGATTAGAGTCATTATGAGCTTTTACATCATTACACTCATGTGCCTCTAGCTGTGCAGTAGAATGTTGTAGTGAAGAATTTAAGGATATTACAGCGGAAACAGATTAAGTCTGGAAAGTGAAGGATTCTCTATGATTAACTTCTTTTAGTGAATCGTGAAAAGAAGATCTATTTTGCCTCGTCTGTCTTTTTACATTCTGCAAATGATGCTGTACTCCATTTGTAAATATTTCTCTGAGGAGCATTTTATTCCCCCGTGTTCACTGGCTAATGCAACTTCTTTTTTATGTAAATACTGTATTCTTAATGCACTTTACAACTATGGCCGAGCTCATAGAAGGATGGGCCACGTGTTGAGAAACATCCTGAGCTGATCAATATTGTCCCCGTGCATGGCTCTGTGACACAAGTGCTGTTTATTAAATGTTCACTTTGAATAATAACCGACTTGGTCTCTTTTGTTTTTTAAACGTAATTGTATGTTTGAGTGGAGGGAAGGATGCAAAGCAAACTTATGAAAGTTTTCACAGCAGAAATACCTGGAAAAAATAGATATTTTTTAGAAATTATACACCAAACGTTCTCTAACTTTTAATTGAAATACAAATGGATTTAGGCCTCTTGTACTGCAGGGAAGGTCCGTTTTAATGTGAATAAAGTGTTGATGATGATACAGACTGATGCAAAGATGCAGGAAAACATATTTATACAATGTCACAATGTGACGACGCCACACCTGCAAAGATTCGTGCTTGAATGAAAAGTCATCATGAGTTATTTTCAAATGCACGTACAGCCAGATGACACTTCGGCTATGTTGTTCTTTCTTTTCCATCCAGTCGGCACGGTCTTAACCTCATAAGTATACAGATAATGCAGCCCGACCGGTTTAAGAGCAACTCGCCCGGCAGCATTGCTTCTAGTGTTTAAACTGGCTTAACATCTCAAAACAAGGCCTCACTGTAGTGAACAATCCTCGCATGACTGTGAGTCTTTTGTAGTTAAAGTGGACCCGAGGGAATCATGAAGCAGTTCTCCCTGCACGATGCAGAAGAAGCTACAACCAATGACAGTTGATGTGCATGAAGATTAAGGCTCTTTTAAAGCTAATGTTGGTTTTTCATTCTTTCTGAGGCTCAGACTCTGGAGCAAACACAGATTCTGTCATGTGAAGGTATCAGCACAAACAGATGGAAATCAAGTGTAAGCTAAGGTAGACATGCTGATATTTGCCTTGAATATTAAACAAGTAGAGGAAAGATGTGTGGGTTGGTACAATTTGATTAAAAGTTTCCAAACCGGTACTTTTGACAAATACTCTGAGTAATGGTGGTTTAACTTCTGTTGGTCACAGCCACAGAGCCGATGTGCCGTCCTACTATAGCTGTTTCAATATAGATAAGCCACTTTGACCACAGTGACAATTATTTTAATGACGCTTCAAAACACATTTTCTTTTTTAATTTTCCTTATTTAAGGTTTCAAAGTAAATTCAAATGAAACATCCTGCTGATTGGGGCAAAGTATACTGATACAGGCTGCTGTGTATTTGTTGACAAAGCAATGCAATCATTGAATATTGTCACAGGCAAAACATGTTACAGGCTATGTAATGTTCTAAAAGCAAAGTATGCATTAAGTTGAAAACTCTCACTTTAACTCAAACTGCGACACACAACAAAACGCACAGTCTCATAACACGATGGCTGCTCATACTACAGGTGGGGTTAGAAAAGATGTGGCGTTCCAGGTGTGACAAACTATAAATAACTTTTTATTATCTGAAGTCTCATCCTACCCACATCAACTCTGTAACACATTTTTACTATGTGTATTCATTCTCACATTCCTCCACCCTCAGACATGTACAACTCATCGTGTCCAAACTGTCACTGGACGAAAGGACAAAACAGCAAAGTTACTTTGAGTTTTCCAACATAAATGTGAGTGTTGGATGTAGTTTTTGATCAAGATCCCAAAATACCGGATGCTACATTTCCTATTATGCAACTACCAGCATATTGATGATACATTTAAAGCACATTGATCGCCCTCTAGTGGCTGGCTGCAGTATCGATCATAAATCCCACCTCCTCAATGTTAGCAGACCAAAATCAAAGAACACGTCAAATAAAGTTTTCTCAAAGATCGTTTTATTGTTTGAGGTCATTCCTCATTTGAATTCTTGGCTTTAATGATTTATTCAATGCTATAAAAATGTGAGGAAAGATGAGAATGACTCGTGATTGGTCGACATTTACTGCGTCAACATACCACTAACTTTCCATCATATTTCACTGCGGTCCTCCTGCAAAACAAACATGCAAAGATGGCTCATTGATAATAAGACAGGCGGCGACATGGTTTCACCCTCGGGGCAGATCCCTTCTCTTCCTTGATGAAACAGATGCCGATGCCGTCTTGTATAAAAATACCACTGTGGTCAACTTTCATAATTTAATTTCATCACCTGGTTTTTGTTGAGTTAATTAAACACTGAAGATTGTGTAACTGGATTCCAGAGAAAGTTTTAACAGTTTTCAGTGTAAACACAACACACACAAACTGTGAACCCTTCCCCTGGAACAACTGAATAATGAGTTTTAAATGACCATAGACCATACATGTGTATTAGTTGTATATTGAAAATAAAACACAGCTGCCCAAACTAACTTAAAGTCCAGTATTGTCTTCAGCCTAAATAATAAAGTATACATGTCAATGAAGGAAAGCAAAAGAAAAGGTATCCTTGACAACAGCAGGGTCAAAGAAATACGTTTTATAAAAGACTTATTGTTGCTCGCTCCACTTTAAGTTAGTTCTATACAGACGGATTCAAAAATGTCATACAAAGATAAATATACAGCATCACTAGGCACACAAAGCAACTAAAAATATCAAACAACATATTTATAACGAATAAATGAGACAAAAAACCAGCCCTATGTTTACCTGTGGAACATTTATGGCAGAAGAGGAATTTTAAAATGAAGCAGAACAGGATCTGAGAAGGTGTGTGCACACGTTGTGGTTTCGGTCGGTCAATAACACGTTTTCCGTGGCAGAAATAAAAAGCACAATCTTTTCTCTTGGTCACTTCACGTCATAAACATATGTTTCTGCCAGGATCAGTGATCTGCTGGTACAGTTATGTATCTACCTACAGTATCAGACGCCAGGTGTTGTGTGCAGTAGTAAAAACAGAAATCACCAGTGATTGTGATTCTCCACATTGTTGCACATAAACTGAGGCGCATATCCAAACTCATTATTGTCTCTTTTGTCAGTCTGACTCATCACTTCAGAGAAAGAAACTTGTGGTTAACAACGACAAAGAGTCACAAAAACATTAATTCAGTCAGTGGTGTACAAAATAATATAACAAAAATAACAATCAAGTCTCTACTTGATGAATCAGTGAAATCTGACAAGACGATCAGCTGTGATTCTGAGACACCCGCATATGTTAATAAAATCAGGAACTTCTTTTAAAAAGACTTTAGACACATTGCAACTTTCAGTCAAATAACACATTTACACTATAACGATGACCAAAAAAACTGTGAAACATCAGTGAATCACAAGTCAGTGGCTTTCTAGGCAGTAAAAGTTCGGTTGATCAGTTCAGTATTAGAGTTTTAGTTGATGCTGCAGCACAAGTCAAACAGTTGAAGTCAGACATTGTGCCAAGACAAGTGTGTACCTGATTCCATTTCTGTAAGATTCATACTTGAACAAACTGGACTGCAATCCAACATGGTTGACCTGCATGAGACGAAGAGAATAATTACTTTCATCTGTGACAATAAAGTTACTTAAATCAAATCCACATTTAGACTCAAAGACGCTCAGATTTTAAGGTAGAAGTAATTTGTGACTTAAAGGCAGAGCCTGTGGAATGTTTGACCACTAGTGGCGCTGTTGAGCAATGCTGGGACACAAACACTGGATCCTCTGTTTCCTGTCTGCTGATTGTGCACTGTACATGTGAGCGTTAAATATGAATCCTCACACGTGCGTGCAGCCAATTCACATCCTGCTATAGCAAATATAGTTGGTGGTGGAAACACAGCACAAAGGTAGAATTGTGCAAATGACAAAAAATATTGTTTTATGAGAAACTAGATTCACACAGTAAAAAAGTAAGTTGTGTTTTTTCCAGGAAAAGAAATCTAATTGTGGCAATTTAGCACACTTGACTAAATTTGATTTTCAGATGTCACAAAATATTCATTAACCAATAAATAAATTATTGCCTTACCTCAGATAGAAGGAGATTCTTCTCATTACACAACAACGTCTAACCCAAATTTCTTTGCAGCATTTCTCCTGTTGATGATAAAAACAAAAATTAATTTCGAAATATTTTCTGATCTGATGTTACCAGTTACATGGTATTGTGTTAACCACAAACATACTTGTTCATGTGGGAACACATTGCAACCAACAGAACTGTAAAAACAGGCACTGCCCACTATACAGTTTAGAAATACTCTGACAGGCGTCTCCCGACACGTCACATGGTTTTTGTTATGTTCAGTTTAGTGATGAAATCTTAAAGCACAAATATTTCTGTAAATCAGATTATAAAAGTTGTGTAAATGCATCAATATATCCTGTTCGTAAAGTCACCTGCGTTTCTTCTTCTGAAATTGCCTGAACTTGGCGATGATGAAAGCCAGGATCACAACGCCAATGATGACGCCCAGCACACTCAGGGTCAGAGGGACACTCAACGCCCCGTTCACCGTGTCCTCGCAGAACTCGCCCTGGTAGCCCAGGTCACAGTCACACAACAGGTTGGCCCCTCCACCCGGAGGTAGCACACAGGCACCGTGGCTGTTGCACTGCGTCTCTCCGCAGGTGGGCAGGCTGAGGTCGATGCCACGGGGGGCAGGGAAGAGGGATGCAGGGGTGGTCATGGCAGGAAAGAGGGGAAACTATGTGGGGGGATGGAATGAGAACAAGAGAGAAGATGAATGGTTGAGACGAGACACACCCTGAAACACAATAGGTAAACATGACGCAGGACACAGGACACCTCTCAGCTCTGACTGTGTTACTCTCTGGACTGATGGATGACTCTCAGGCCTGCTCCGACTGAGCTTGTTTAATCTGATTTTAATGGTGGAACTCTGAAACTTTAATTTGGTGTATTACAAAGTAGATTTTTTAATATCCTAAATCTTCATTTTATCATTCATTCTTGTTGTTTTATCGAATTGTTTTGTATGTAAAGCTTCACATACTGTAAATATAGGCCGACAGTATCTTTACCTGCTGTGTTTCTATTGCTACTTTCCCAATTTCCCATTGGCTGATAATACTTTCTCTCTCTCTCTCTCTCTCTCTCTTTCTCTAAGCTGCAGCATGTGATTACTTTTAAACTAACATTTAAAACTTCAGTCATAATTACAGTACTGTGTGCAGTTAGGAATGTGGTAAACATAATGTTACTGGAACAGTTTATGATTCAAAGCCTGATGAGAACTGATGTTTCCCACCACAGAGTCTAAAGAAGTGAATGCTCAAAAAAGACACATTTACCGTTGCAGTTTTCTCTTTAAAATGCAAACAGATACTATGTGGAACTCAGACAAAGATGAAGTAGATCACACAGATATTTCACTTCTCACAGAGCTGTAAGCTGCTTGTCCTGTAGTGACTTGCCCTCCAGACATATTTTACTTTTAAATCATCATGTACAAATGACCCATAACAAAACCTGCCTGCAGACACACAGTACTTAATCAACTATTCCCTATTATGCTCAAGACAAAATAGGATTAATCCATGTATTTCTTTGCAGTCTTTCTTCCCACATGAGAAACGCAGATCATTATTCGTCCCATCGTCTCCAGATGTGCACGTTTCATTTACAGCTGCAACACACGGATTGACTCAGAAAGTTTTACTCCTACTAAACAAACATCCGACTTGTTGACTGATAAAGTAAATAGAGAAAGTTCACAGATGATTCACCTGTACCTGAAACACTGAGTCAAGTTGTGTGTTTAACAGAGAAGCACATTGACTAATGTGGAAAGATTAAAATAAAAATTGACAAAGCTTTTCTTTCCCTCAGTATAACATGTTCCAACGTCAGTGTGAGCCTCAGGACTTGGTCTCAACATCAGGACTTGGTTACATCACAGAAGCCAAATACACTAGTGTGTAAAAGTTAATATAAAAATGTAAGGAACAACTTTCTGAAGCACTTGAACAAGGCAGGATAAATACTGTAGCTTTTAAGTGGTGCTGTTGCCTCTCAAAGCATCTCGTTCATCAGGTTCCCCACCAGCACAGATACAGGGTGGGAAAATAGTGACACAATGAAAACCTTCTACTCACAAGAGCAAAGAATGCAGCACGGACGTCCTGAAATGTAGTTTTAGGTTTTTGTTGCAGGGTTGTCCAGGTGTGTGTCTCTGCCTCTCCTGGGTCCTAAAATAATTTAAAGTTCCTCTTCCTCTAAGAGTATAAGTCACAAAAGGTAGGCGGGATGAGGAAGAAAGATGAGACCTTTGAATACCTGCCTGCTCCTCCCAGGAACACACAAATATCCTCCTCCTGCTTCATCTTTCATTGGGCTTAAGTCAAATACACACCACTGCTGCTCACCTTCATGAAGCAACCTCACATTTCATAAGGCAAGCGCTCATGACCAATCGTCTGCTTCAGGTTAATCTCTGACTCACGTTGAACACTCTGGCAGCCCTGCATGGGAAAATAAACTTCGTGTGTGATTCCTCTCAGGCTCATGTAACACCAGGATTGACCTCAACTAAAATACAGAAAACATTTAATGTGTAGAACTTTTAATGTGACATTGGTTTGACCATAATAAACACCTCTTCTCTCTAAGCTGCAACTGGAGGATAAGTAACATGCATTAATCTCTCTCTGTCACACATATGCACACACACCCTGACCTGAGGACAACAATGGTGAAAAGCAAAGGGTGTGTGGGCGAGACAACAGGGGGATAGAGAAGAGAAGGCAAGTTGGAACAGGACGCCGCTCACAGGAGGTACATGCCGGTGCAACGTGCAGCAGGTCACACAGCTGTTACATAATCCTCATATGTTTGCTCATGGATTCATTCGTGCAGGTCCCAACAGTGGGTAGTTGTGTTACAATCTTGAGTTGGGGGCTGGGTAAAAGAGCCATGGGGCCCTACGTTGAACCAAGCAACCCATATCCAGAAAACAAAACACATGATAGATGGTCTGGTCTTTAACCAGATATCCTTCAGCAGAAGGTTAGAGGCGTGGGGCCTCGGTAGTCGGTGCAGAAGGTGGTTCTCACAAAATTGCCATTGTGTGGATCAGCTGTTCTCGGAGGCCCCAGGCAATTGCTCACTTCACCTATGGTTCCAACTGCCCCGTGTCTGTTTACAGGGCTTCTGTGATTGTTGTAGCAGCAGGATGATCATGTGAATGTTTGATTTGCATTTATTTTGTTTGTCCAATGAGTCAAATGCCTTGTCTAATTTTTTTTATCTTTACTTCAACACGAAAATCTGCCACACATGTTCAGTGAAACTAGATACAACTCGTCGCTGTATCCAGAACACTTGATCATCTCATTTAAGATGAAGTCATTTTTAACTCAGTTTCACTTTGTCGGCCTCGTTCTGCTCGTCATGTGACACCAGATCAGGTCTGGCTGAAAAACAGGTGGAAGTAAATGAACAGAGAAGCCTTTAATGCTAGATATGTTTCTATACAACTAATTTGAGGGAAAGAGGAACCAAAACAACAAAAGGAAGCTTTTGGTTGAAACTGTTATCAGTTTATAAAAAGGGCGACAGAGTCACATGAAGAACTGTGACAACAATTAGTCAATGCAAGAGAACTGAGAGAGACAAAAGGTGAACAAGTTCACTAGTGAGATGTGTGAGTGTGAATGAGAAGTTAAAACTGACTCTAGTTACTGGTTCATTATACGTTTGATTTATTACAATACAGTCTTGAAATCCAGGATCTGATATGAAATCTAATATTGTGAAAGATGATTATTTAGGTTTGAGTGTCTTTAACATAAACGCTGGATTCTTGGCGTCGACCGGGGACTCGAGCTCCTGAGGAGGAAGAACAGAGCAGACATTTTTCCACTTAATATAAAAAGGGAGGAAATAATCAAATGTTACACACTAATAAAGATGAACTTGTAAACCTGAGTTACAATTACTTTTATAAAGAAAAGGACTAAAAGTTTCTCAACGAAGGAGAAAGTCAGTGTTAATATTTTGTAATTTGTTTCGAGGAGCAAGAATAAACTTTCACTCAAATCAAGAGTGTAAATGTTTCATCTACACCTCTAAAATCTATTTACTGTGATTTGTGTTCGAACTCATGACAGATGAACAATGTTTCTAGACTATTGACCAGCTGCTTTAGTGGATAAAGTAAATCAACCACACTCATGGTTTATATTCCTAAATACCTTCAGGGACATCTCTGCTCATGTATGTTAAAGTTTTTACCTCAGAGTCAGAATCGTAGTTTTCACACGGCAGACCCATGTTGGCCATCAGAGTTTCTTTCTCCGTGGATCTGCTCCTGATGGACGCCCACGCTCTCCTGATGAGTCCGAGGTACACAGGTCAAATATTTAGTTTATACACAGAACATCGAGTTTTGTAGCACAAAATAAATCCAAGAGACTCTTCGGGTTTTAATTCCAACACCTCAGCAACTGACTTCAGTGTAAATCAGTGAGTTAGCTACTGCAGTAGAAGAGTAGAGTCTTTTGGCCACCACCTGTGTTATCTTTACCTTTTTGCAAAGATAAAAGCTGCAGCCATCAACAAGGCCACGAGGCAGAAGACGCCTAGGACGATCACCCCGTGATTGTGTCCACCTTCCGTCTCCTGGCAAAACTCTCCGTTGTACCCGGCCGTACACTGACAGCGAGTGACTTCACCCTCTTTGACGCAGTGACCTTGACCGTGGCAGTGTTGGTGATCGCAGGACGTGGAGTCTTTTTTAAGAGCGTATTTGTTGTGTGGGTGAGGAGAGGAAGACTCAGGAGGACGGCCATCACTGGCTGTGGTCCCGAAATTGTTTGTGTGTGGACCTGAGGGGAAAGTCAGTGTTGAGGATTAACACCGACTGGTTTTCGGATTTTGAAATCACCACAGTTTCTTCTCCATTAGACTAAAAACCACTCACAGTCCTGTTCGTCAGACTGGTCCCGACAGTCCACGCGTCCGTCACAGAACCTGCCGCTGCTGATGCACTTGGTTCCATCAGAGCAGGACCGTTCTCCGTCGGGGCAGTCGTGGAGGCGGGCACAGGAAGTGGCGCCGACGCTGTAGAAGTCCTCGCCGCATTTACACGTGCCACCTCCAGGAAAGGCCAGACACAGATGGGCACATCCACCGTTGTTGTTGGAGCAGCCATTTGTTCCTGGAGGACATGGAGAGCCTTCAGTTACCTACTTTTATTCATTGTTTAGTTTACACAACGTTCTATAGCAGGTTGATGGGTTCCCTTAGTAACTACATATGATTAAAACAACATTACACACCAGGTCATCCACTAAGTCTAATTCCTTTATTGCTATATACACAAATCCGGGCCTTCTGGCTGCGTATAAAGATGCTCTGCTTTGGCACTGGATCGACACCGCCAGTTCTCAGACTGTGGCAGCGCCCAGATTAAGAGGAAAGAGGTGCGTCAACTTAACAATGGATAGTAATCGATTGTGAAAGAGCAACAGACTTCAGCGTGTGAGAAAATGAAGACGTCTGAGTTTTAGTATACAATCAGATTCCCAGTATTTGTTCAGCTGCTCTTCATTTCTGTTTCAGCTGAAATTTTTTTGGCCGTTAAATAATTTAAGAGACTCTAATTTGTGATTTCAATGGTAATG